TAGGTAAATGCGCCTTAAGTTAGGCGCGGTCGTGTTATTCACACGAAGTTAGTCAGATTGAGTTAAAGTTGTGTATTGGATGCCGTCTACTTTACGAGTACATCGTATTTATACTATTTGCTAGACTATCTACTCGAGCCGTCTAGCATCTTCAATGCTCTTCGAGTCGTGAGTAGTGTCTTCAAGTAACTACTCTCCTTCTTGAGAACCTTCTAGTGCGTTCTCGTTGTACTTAAAGGAGATAAGATTGATGTTAACGACTTATCTAATCTAGCTAAATGTATCTATCCATGACAATTACTTCTGGGCGCTTCCAAACTCAGTAAAAAGACAGATGGGGATAGCTCGAGGAATTCAGCGAAATACAGATGAAAGATCGAAAATGTTCTTGTACCAAGTGCTCTCAGCTCTCAGTCAAAAATTCGATATCAATAGTACGACCGGTCTGATTTGAACAGACATCTTCAAATGGCTTGCAACGAGTGCAAGTCTGGATGACGCTCTACGAGCTGAGCTACGGTCGTCTGACACATCCGAAATGCAATTGAATCTGTCATATCCGCTTGAGTCCGGGTATTTCGAGTCATCATGAGCATTCCTCTGATTTCTCTCACCCGGCGCTCGAGTATTCTTACGACAGCATGTGAACAAGCAAGGTGAAGGGCGACGAGCAAAAGATGTACATACACAAACAACGAAGATACACAATAAGGATACAACTACGCTACTACTCCTCGAAGCACAAATGCCTTACTATACTGCTACTCCCCGAAGCTCCAGATCCTCACCACATTATCATCCCCACCGCTCACAATCCTCTCCTCCCCGATGGCTAGACAACTCACGGCTGCCTGGTGCCCAACAAGGGTCGCAATGCAGCGACCATCCTCTCTGCTCCAGACCTTGACAGTGCGATCGTGTGACGCACTCACCACCCTCGTCTTATCCACCTCGACGCCCCAAACACCCTCGATGTGTCCGAAATACGTCTTGAGAGTCTTGCCCGTGCCCTTCGCCTTCTCCCTCTCCTCGACATTGTCCGCTGAACCCGAGTCTTCTGCGTACACGCCCGTACCCACATCCCACTCCTTGATAGTGTTGTCGAGGGAGCCGGTGATGAGAATCCCTTCTCGAAGCCGTATACTCTGTACTTGCGCGACATGGCCTTGCAAGATGCGTGTGCATGTCCTGTCGCGGAGACACCATTCGCGGATAGTGCCGTCATCGCTGCCGCTGAAGAGCCTGCGCGTCTCCTCACCTGCGCCGTCGCCATCGAGTTGCACAGCGTTGACCCAGTCGGTATGTCCCGCCAGTGTGAACGTATACCCTCCCGCTTCTGTACTCCAAACCTTGACCAGTCCCTCAACACCCCCGCTCGCTAGAATATTCCCTCTGAAATGCAAGGAAACGACACCTTGGGGATGTGCGGGCAGCGTTCGGATGAATTCGCCTCTCCGCCAATCCCAGACCTTCAGCGTCCCATCCATTCCACCAGTGATAAGCTTGACATCGTCGAACTGCAGCGCACGGACAGCCCGAGTGTGTCCGGTGAGACAGTGTAGCTGTGCGCCAGTGTTCATATTCCAGACACGGACGGTGCGGTCGTACGAGCCACTGATGAGGACGCCAAACGAGGGATGGACTTCGTCGCTGTACTGCACACACATGACACCATCCGTGTGTCCCTTGAGCTCAGCCACCGTACATCTGCCTCGTCGCCAATTTTGCTCTACAGTCATGCGCTCCGAGTAGACATCTTTCCATGGGCGCAAAGCTGGTCGCAGGCGTGCACGTTTAGCTGCTGGCGGCGCCTCTTCCGAGTCTTGAGATGACGAGCAAGGTGAGCCCGCCCGTTTGCGTTTCTTTTCGAGGACAGGGAGGCTCCAGCCGCACTTTTTGCAGCGCTGGCCGATGTGTTGTTCGCAGATGCCGCGCCAGAGGACGTCGTCGTCGGCCAGACAGCGCCAGCGCTTGCTGACTTGCGCTGCTCGACAGAGACTTGTTGCATCGAGATACCCTGCCACCTTGAGCGACACCTCTCTTGGAAGGACAGCGAAAGGGTCGATACGAATGAGTTGGGAGAGTTGTTCGGTGAGCAGGGAAAGTTGGGAGAAGCAACACATGGTGAGGAGGCCTTGTAGGATGAGTGCACGGCGCGAATGCGGAGAGGCAGAGAAGTTGGACCAAATCTGCGAAATGGACGAGCGGTCATCTTCAGGTAGCGCATCTAGGCTCTGAAATGAAAAGGGAAAAAAGGGAAATGAAATCAGGGCGATCCCAAGGAACTGTCAAGAAAGATAACGCACCTGTTGGAGCTTAAGATTTGTGCCCTCGTCTGCCATACGCTGGTGCCGGACACACAGCTTGCGCGCCGGGGCGGCGTCTACGCCCCGAGCCCGCGCCTTCCACTGGCCCTCGATCCACTCTGCACCGCCCTCATGCGGCTTACCGTCTTCCGCAGGCGGCGACGCCCGCCATAGCACCTCCGGCGTCTCTTGTGTTGTATGCAGCAGCTCGTGGTGCGGCTGTACTGGCCCGCCGCCGTCCTCGTCGCTGTGCTCTCCGTTTGTATGCAGCAGCTCATTTGTCTGCGCCTCGGATGTACTGCCCGCTCGGCCAGTCCCAGCGCTCCAAGCTGTATGCGCCTCTGGCTCTGTCGTCTGATGAGCGGCAGGCATCGTCGAAACCCGCGGCGCGGGCACCGTGTCGCAGAGGCTCGCTTGGCGTTTGCTCGAGCTCATCGTTCCAGTCCAGGGTCAACTTGTGATTCTTTGAAGTAGTGGGAGTAGAAATGAAGCCCGAATCCGTTTGTCCTAGTCAGAGAATGGGTGTGGCTGGGATGAGTGGACCGTTGGATTGGCGAAAAGTCAAATAGCCTTCTTGACTAAGAAGCCGTCCGGGGCGTATAAGTGGTGTCCTCGCCGGCCTCCGCTCGTGATTGACTCCGGTGGAGAATATGGGTAGATGGGTGAGCGAAAGAGAGAAGCAGCTCGAAATGAAAAGACGATGAGGATGGTGTGCTCGTCCGCCTGATGTGATCCGCCCGCTTCAAAGCGTTCGTCTGTCTTGCGTAGAGGAGCCTTGTTTCCGCCGTATATGCACTTCTATCGAGTTTTTGCGCCCGATGGATGTTGAGTCCAACTGAAAGACGAGTCGTGGTGAAAGGGAAAGAGAGAGATGGGTGCTGGAGAGGCAAAAAGTCCCGCTACTGCCTCCGAACCCGCGCCGGAGCCCCATTTAGATGCCATATCGCGTCATCCGCACGCCTTGCCCTATCAATTCCATGTTGATTTCATGGCTCTTGCGACTGTCTTTGCACAAAAAAATTGGGCATCGCCTCGAATCACTGGACAGGTCATCGCGGAGGAGTGGTGTGGATAGGAAAGCGAGCAGCGCGAGGAAATTTTTACCGCGCAGGCGAGAAGGTGCGAATGCCAAAAACGCCATAATAACCTCCCTTCACTATCACTCATTAGTTAGCCCTTCGCTTTGCCGTTCTTCTTTTGAATGTGCATTGCGCCATCTCCCATAGCCGCTTCCATGCCCGTCTTATGTCACGGCGTTACCAAGAGACCCAACACATAGCATACATGACTTAGCGGGATGGCGCGCCTCGGGGCGAGATGGCGCAACATTCTATATACGCAGACGACAGCCCTCGAGCGGGATTTTCGCTACCCTTCGACACTGCTTCGACACGTACTCTGTTCGTCCCTCGTGCCCAAGACTGTGAAATCAGCTGGCATTATTGATACACTGAACGCATCGCCCTGCCAGAACTGCGTTACATCGCTGCCTCATCGGGAAAATGCCCCTCAAGTCATCCGAGTTTCACCTTCATCCGTTCTTCGTCGGTGTACACGCAAAGGCTAAAGCCCCTTGAGTGTGTAAGCTGATAACGGACTGGGAAGGTGAACATCGCGCAATCCTCTCGTGGCCCGGATCTATCTAGGTCTATTCCGCACCGAACCAGTCCTCCTCCAACTTCAAGCATCAGATTCTGAATCAAGGTTCTCTTTATGTACACCGTGCGCAAGTCCATCGACCGGTCCTTCGTGCATCAGCCTACAATCGTGGTACGTGATGCCATTCTTGCCTTGGCTTTCGCTACATTCGGACAGCTTTTAGAACACATTCACGAATACGTTCCCATGAGTTCGAAGCAACTGATTTCATATCGGATATCAACTCATCCTGTGAAGCTCCAACGAAGCTCAGCTTGAATTTGCATCTTCTTGCATCTATCCTCCTTCACAATTCTTCACGTCCGGCCTCGCCAGTACCCGTCCGCCGACCCGCCCGCGCTTCGCTTGCTGGCACTAAGGGCGCCTCTCAACACGTGCATTAATGGGGTAGTGGTAACCTGGGTCGTTGCCATCGACCCGCCGGGGGTTCGATTCCCTCTTAATGCATTGTGCATGAGAGTGAACAGCGTCGTTTTTGCCGCAGTGGGGTCTGAGTGCGCTGAATTTGAACTTTGAACTCCGAATCCTCAAGCTTGAAGCTTAAGGCTTCAAGCTTCAAGCCTAGGGTGCGGACCTATGCTCCCCGGGGGGTACAGTACCGGTACCGTACCTATGCCCAATTTAGGGGGGGTGTACCGTACCGTACTGTACCGTACTGTACCGGCACATGAAAACATGTGACCTGCGCCACACCCCGCGTTTTGCTTGTTTTTTGCGCTGTTTCCCGGGATTTCTTGTTTTTGCGTGCATATTACACTACCAAGGGTATAATAGGACATAGTTCAACGCTGATGGGCCCCAAAATCACAGGATTTGGCCTCACAATGGCTCTGGATTTAGACACCTTTTGGAGCAGCCTCACAATGGCCCAATGACTTTGAAGTTGCTTCAAAAGGTCTTCAATAGCACCTTTTAGCCACGTGCCAGAGTTATAGCCCTTGGGAACCCCAATAAGAGCCATGCCACTCCCCCCAATGTCGTTGGGCGCCCGCCGATCATGCCGCCGCCCGCCCCGCGCCGTGATCCCAAGCATGCACAAGATATGGTCACGTGAATGCATCATGTGATAGGTACCATACCTACCCTCCCGGCGGGGGGTGTACAGTACATGGTACGGTACCGGTACTTATGCTCGGTACCTATGTTTTGGGGGTTAGGTCCGCCACCCTACTGAACTTTGAACTCTGAATCCTCAAGCTTGAGGCTTAAGGCTTCAAGCTTCAAGCTTGGACCTCGTAGGAAACAGGGCTTTTTGTTGGCACTCGAGGCCATGGACTCTAGATTTTCTCAAGAGATGCTTTCCAATGGTGCAAACTTCAGACTCGCAGTGGGAGAGGATATTTTAACTACGCATATTGTGATCTCCTCTTTTCTTGATCCTCAACATGAATGGAGCTAAACACACCTCCCGAGAGCCGAATTCCCGGTCCCCACGCTTGTGCTCCGATTTTCACCTCGTCTCAACAGTGCTTTACTGAATAATTGCGCTCATAAGTAGTAGTCCAAGCCTTGGAATTCCTGCACCAAAGAAAACAACAGCATCCACAGATCCAATCAGG